TGTGTTTTCAGAGTGGGTGTTTGTGTGAGGATGGGTGTTGTTGGTAGGGGGAGGGGTAGGGAGGTAGGGAAGGGGGGAAAGAATATGGGGTGGGAGGGGCAGGCAGCATCAAGGAGAGTTTTAGGGGGTTACAAGAGGGTATAGGGAGGGAGGAGAAAGGGAGTGTGGGAGAGGCTAGGGGAAGAGAGAGAGAAAGAAAGAAGACCGGGAGAGGGAAGATGGATGGAAGGTGAGAATGATATATATATATATATATATATATATATATATATATATATATATATACATATATATATATATATATATATATATATATATATATATATAATATATATATATATATATATATATACAGAGAGAGAGAGAGAGAGAGAGTATGTGTGTGTGTGTAAACAGCCACGCAGGGAGTAGAATGATAGCTCTAGGCCTTTCGTGTTGTAATCAACACATCATCAGGAACTTGGAAAATTGCAGAAAAGAGGAGGGTATCTAAGCAAATAACGTTCCCAGAGGACCGTCTTTATTGGAGTGAACGAGGAAGGGAGGGAGAAAGAAGTGAGTATCAGAAGTGCCCTCAGGCACAACAGTGCCCATAGCCAGAAAGAGAAATATTATATCATTAGAAAAAATCCCACAGGCATTGACATTGTAATAGCCTAAATGAAATTATTATTATTATTATAATCAAAAAAGAAGCGCTAAGCCACAAGGACTATACAGCGCCTAAATGAAATTAATGTGACAATAATCAAAAATTCCGTCACATTCCGCTATGACATCAATAACTTTAAATATATAAATAAATTGTCAGTGATATAGAACTCACTGACAATTATATCCTCCATGGGACAACGTGTCCATTTAAATTACAAAAGAAAACAGTACCATATAGAGAGGAGACTTCTAAAAGTCATGTCAATGAAACGGGGCTCATTAAAATGAACTCATTAAGGAGGGGAGGCATCTGCAATAACAAGAAAGCCAGCCACATATATTCATCTCACAATAATTCTGAGGCAAACTCTGGTTCAACCTTCAGAAACTGCATTAAAAAGATTTTTAGGCCCTAATTCCTCGGTGTGACACATTTAAGACAGTCTTCCGGTACCCTCTTCTTTCTCCCTCCCTTCCTCGTTCACTCCAGTAAAGACGGTCCTCTGGGAACGTTATTTGCTTAGATACCCTCTTCTTTTCTGCAATTTTCCAAGCTTCTGATGATGTGTTGATTACAACACGAAAGGCCTAGAGCTATCATTCTACTCCCCCCGTGGTTGTTTTGCATCTTGCATCGCTTGGTTTACGATATTTGGTTTATATATATATATATATATATATATATATATATATATATATATATATATATATATATATATATATATATATATATATATATATATACATATATACAATAAGATCACAGTAAACAGGTGATTTTAAAATATGCAAAACAACCACTGTGAAAGAATAGTGAAATTCCAAGCGCATTCGTGACTACTCACATTGTCAAGGAACTATCTTACCATACTTCCTAAAAGTACCACGTCAATCCACTTCATTTGCGAGATTATAAAGTTACTTAAAAACAACTCAGGGAATCTGTCTAATGTCCCACTATTACTGTACAAGCGAGCGGCCCATATCCTTTCGCATGCTATTTCATTACTTTTTAACAAGTCACTAGAAACTAGCACCTTCCCGAAACTACTCAAGATGGCAAGGGTTACACCAATACATAAAGGTGGTGACCCTACAGACTTAAACAACTATAGGCCAATATCAAACTTACCATTGCTATCCAAAATCTTTGAGAAACTCGTGCACAGGAGACTATATTCATTTATAACAGCACAAAACATACTCAACCCCTGCCAATTTGGATTTAGGAAAAATAAAAGCACTAATGATGCAATCATAAAAATGCTAGATCTGCTTTACACAGCATTGGAAAATAAGGAATATCCACTAGGAATTTTTATTGACCTAAGAAAAGCTTTTGACACAGTAGACCACGACATCCTACTCCACAAACTTGACCATTACGGTATAAGAGGCCATGCGCTTGCTTATTTCAAATCTTACCTTACTAATAGGTATCAGTATGTTACCATTAAAGACACAGCATCAACAACACGGCCACTTGATACTGGAGTTCCGCAGGAAAGTGTCCTTGGTCCCCTGGTCTTCCTCATATACATCAATGATCTTCCAAACGTATCCCAACACCTGAAACCCATTCTCTTTGCTGACGACACGACTTATGTCATCTCTCACCTAATCTTGCCACCCTCAACACCATTGTTAACGAGGAGCTGATCAAAATATCGACTTGGATGACAGCCAATAAACTTACGCTTAACATTGACAAAACCTACTATATTATCTTTGGTAGCAAAGCAGGAGATGCACAAATTAACATTAAGATCGACAACACTCTAATTACCAGACATAATGAGGGCAAATTCCTAGGCCTATACCTTGACAACAACCTGAATTTCAGCACCCCTTTCCCAAACACATAACCAAAAAAGTATCCAAAACAGTTGGGATCCTCTCCAAGATACGATACTACGTGCCGCAAAATGCCCTTCTCACACTATACCACTCACTTATTTATCCATACCTCACCTATGCTATTTGTGCTTGGGGATCAACTGAAGCAACACACCTAAAGCCAATAATAACCCAACAAAAAGCTTCAGTAAGAATAATCACTAAATCCCATCCCTGGCAACACACCCCCCACTGTTCAGTACATCCACACTTACTACTGTGCAATCTACATCTACAGGACCTTAAACTCCAATATCAACCTTGACCTAAAACGCTTTCTTGATAGTTGTGACAGAACCCACAGGCATAACACCAGACAAAAAATCTCTACGACTTTCCCCATGTCCGACTAAACCTTTACAAAAATTCAATGTATGTCAAAGGCCCTAAAATCTGGAACACCCTACCTGAGAACTCTAGAACTGCAGACACATTCATCACCTTCAAAACTACCATTAGAAAACATCTTATCTCCCTGATACACCCATCAACTAACTACACGAATACCACCTGGTGGTTCACACTTACACTCACTCACCCATTTGACCATAAACAGAAATATTAATCTCAATCTTAAAATAATGAATCCTGTGATACTCCAATACTGAAACTATGTATGTGCCAAAACAAAAGCATTCACATTGCTAAACTCACAAACTAGTATTTAGTCACTTAGCCATAATACCAACTTACCTCATAATTTGTAATATTTTAAATAAAGAATTAAACTAAGTCTGCCCGAAATGCCAGCCATGTTAGGCGTTCTAGTGGTAACACTCTGTAATCATTATTTAACTACATGTAAACCACACAACAACCAAATTCTATAAATTCACATTGTAATTCATTATGGAGAATAACTTTAAATTTGAATTGAATTTGAAAAGGTAATCCGCGGATACGGATCCATGTGTACTCTGTAAATATAGCTTTTACCTTTATTTTTCTGCAATCCCGTTGATATCCATTTAAATATCTTGATAAGACGACGCCAGTCGAGAGTATTCTGCGTTGTTATTCACCTTCAAAGGAGTCGTCTGGTGGTTCAAAAATCGCAATACCGCGAACATATTCGTCGTCCACGCCGTATATATCCTAAAACTATCCTTACAAGTGATGCTTCTGAATTTTGTTGCACGAAAGATCCTTGACTTAGATCCAAAGCTACAAATTCAGAACTTTTCTAGTGGAAGAAGAGCTCTCAGAGGCAAACAACTATAATATCGCGCTACCTCTCTGGTGACGGTGTTATCGGCACGGCTGCCAAGCAGCGAATGATAACGGGTTAGGTTTAAAGCCCATCGACTACGCTAGGTTGTATAATATCCTTCTTCACCACTAGACAGGAATACTTTGATTCCTAAAATAGGGATTAAAGCTAATCCTCAGCATATATACGATAAAAGAAATACACTTCTCAGTGAGAATTCATGTGATGTTTATTTCCGCACGGGTCTTTAAAGCAGACGACCTGTGAGTGTAGTGTTGACCACCAGGTGTCAGGTGTGTTGTGTTCGTGCTCCATGACGACCCTGAGTGTAGTTCTTGACCACCAGGTGTCAGGTGTGTTGTGTTCGTGGCTCCTATGACGACCCTGAGTGTAGTCTTGGCCACCAGGTGTCAGGTGTGTTGTGTTCGTGGCTCCTATGACGACCCTGAGTGTAGTCTTGACCACCAGGTGTCAGGTGTGTTTGTGTTCGTGGCTCCTATGACGACCCTGAGTGTAGTCTTGGCCACCAGGTGTCAGGTGTGTTGTGTTCGTGGCTCCTATGACGACCCTGAGTGTAGTCTTGACCACCAGGTGTCAGGTGTGTTGTTTTTCGTGGCTCCTATGACGACCCTGAGTGTAGTCTTGACCACCAGGTGTCAGGAGTATTGTATTCGCGGTTTCTATCATAGGTTTCAGGAAGACGCTGTAATCCACAAGTTTTATTCCACAAACTTCTTGCCTCGCGTAAATTTCTTCACAATATTGACCATAATCTTAAATTTTCATTCCAACCTGCTCAGCACAGTGAAGTTTTTTTTACAGAAACAACTGCCGAAAGAAGAAACTTACTAAATTTCAAGGAAAAAAGAAGACACCCAACTGCCAAAATAATTTTTTTACTTCTTAAAACTCAACTAACTCACACTAAAGTTTAGAGAGGAAATTTTTAAAAGAGTTTCCGTCTATCTAGACCAATATCAAGAAGCGAGTCATCTAAAGTTTCACCATATATTGAGAGAAAATTTAGTGATTTATTCAAGACACAGTATTGCGACTTATTATTTTTATAGCGGTTACTTTAATAAATAATTAAAATAAAGTTCTGCTGTAATTCTATGCAGTGTTAAACTCATGTGGGTGGGTCATTTACTGCGAAGGAAGGTAGAGACTTGACTCTTTTCTCCGCTAATCGTGGAATGTTCTCAGACCAGTCAGAAAGTAAATTAAAGAGACCCAAAGTTTACGGAGACGAAGTTTTGTTAAGCGACTTGTGAGAAAGGAAGAGAAGACGACTGACCTGGTGGAAGTAAGCGTGTGTAGAGGTGTTGAGCAGCTCGGTGGGACTGTAGTCGAGCAAGTCGAACATGTGAACCTCACAGTTGAACTTCGACACGGCCACGTCGAAGGTTGAGTCGAAGTGGATGCCAAAGGAGAGGGTGAGGCAGGTGGTGGGGTCTCTGATAGGCAGCAGACCAAGGGGCGGGTCCATACACACTACCTGTAGCAGGTAAAGTTACGTCACCTCAAGATCTAATAACTGATACTGCAAGGGTGTACTTAAGTCTAAACACACACACACACACACACACACACACACACACACACTCACACAGGAGCTGTGAATCGACCCCTGCAACCACGTATAGATGAGTACACACACACACTCACATAATGAAACACATTCTCAAGCTGCAGATGATGCAGACATCTGCAGCCTAAGAATGAGGTTCATAATGAGGTTTTTTACCTGTATAGCATTCTGAGATTTTAAAATAATGCAGTATATTAGAAAACTAAGAAATATGAGTAAAAACGTTATCTTGTTGCATATTTCAATGCTACAACGCCACTTGAAGCGTTTTATAACGTATTTCAGTTTTTAGCATATTAACAGGTACTAAGATTACACCTGCATTCTCTAGCGGTGCCTCTTGTGTTTACCAAAGATCGCATATTAATATTACCACTGTGACTGTGAGTGCCTCATGTTACGTCTGTTACAGTAACCTTCAAAATAGTTTTGTCCTTGTGACAAGATTGTTGGTTCACTGGATCGATAATTAACACATATTTTCGCAAGAGAAGATCTTGGAATGAAATCGTTATTTTTGTTCCTAGAAAAAGAAATATAGAAGCACAGTGCAAAAGAATCAGTTGCAAAATTCTCAGAAAACAATATTAATTCAGGATTACCTTGCTGCCATCCACAAGGTCGTCAGTTACGTCCCCACACGTGTGATGACCACCCATAATGACTACTTTCCGGCACCTGGCCTGCGGTGTCTTGAGGTAAGTGAAATAATCGTCGACTTCCTGCAGGTCACTTGTCCTCAGCGGTGGCGGCTGAGGTGGCCAGGCCAGGCACTCTCTGCCATACTCAGCGGCGGTGCCAGCTCATCCTGTACCACCACAATGACACAACTTGTTTAAATCTGAAGATATTGTTGATACTCAGCTGTATGTAATATTATTAATATAAACAGTAATTTCAACTGAGGAACCTAACATTATCTTGTACTTATACAGCACTTAATGTTGCTCTGGTATAGTTAATTATTGCAGTGTGTTAATGTTAAAGACTATCACTTGCACCTGGGTCAGGAATCATGCTGTTAACCTGCCAGAGTGCTTTGATTTTCTTTATATATACATACATACATACATACATACAAGGTGGACAAAGACAGGATGTTCCAGAGATGGGACACAGCAACAAGGGGACACAGTTGGAAGTTGAAGAAACAGATGAATAACAGGGATGTTAGGAAGTATTTCTTCAGCTACAGAGTAGTCAGGAAGGGGAATAGTTTGGGAAGCGATGTAGTGGAGGCAGGATCCATACACAGCTTTAAGCAGAGGTATGATAAAGCTCGCGGTTCAGGGAGAGTGATCCAGCAGCGACCAGTGAAGAGGCGGGGCCAAGAGCTTGGACTCGACCCCTGCAACCTCAACTAGGTGAGTACATATATTTTATTATAAAATATATATATATATATATATATATATATATATATATATATATATATATATATAATATATATATTATATATATATGTCGTGCCGAATATGTAAAACTGGTCAGTTAGCAAGAACTCATTTAAAATTAAGTCCTTTCTAAAATTTTCTCTCATACGTTTAAAGATATATTTTTTTCATTGACATTGATGTAAAAATTTATAATTTTGCACCAAAAGGAACTTAGAAAACTTACCTAACCTTATTATAACAAACGCAATTTATTTTAGCCTAACCCAACTAAATATATTTTAGATTTGTTTACAGTAATTTAGTACTAAACACAGTGAAATATATTTTTTTCGTTAGGTTCAGAATGATTTTGGCGAAATTATTGCATACACAAATTTTCACTTGGCCTATATGGCAAAATGAGCGTTGCTATTTAAGCCAAGATCGCAAGTTCTGCCTATTCGGCACGACATATATATATAAAATATATATATTATATATATATATATATATATATATATATATATATATATATATATATATATATATATATATATGTTTTTTAACAATGTCGGCCGTCTCCCACCGAGGCAGGGTGACCCAAAAGAAAGAAAATCCCCCAAGAAGAAAATACTTTCATCATCATTCAACACTTTCACCACACTCACACAATATCACTGTTTTTGCAGAGGTGCTCAGAATACAACAGTTTAGAAGCATATACGTATAAAGATACACAACATATCCCTCCAAACTGCCAATATCCCGACCCTCTCCTTTATAAAGTGCAGGCATTGTACTTCCCATTTCCCGGACTCAAGTCCGACTATATGAAAATAAACCGGTTTCCCTGAATCCCTTCACTAAATATTACCCTGCTCACACTCCAACAGATCGTCAGGGCCAAATACCATTCGTTCTCCATTCACTCCTATCGAACAAGCTCATGCAAGCCTGCTGGAAGTCCAAGCCCCTCACCCACAAAACCTCCCTACCCCTTCCAACCTTTTCGAGGACGACCCCTGTCCCGCCTTCCTTTCCCTACAGATTTATATGCTCTCCATTTCATTCTACTTGATCCATTCTCTCTAAATGACCCAAACCACCTCAAAAAAAACCCTCTTCAGCCCCCTGACTAATACTTTTATTAGCTCCACACCTTCTCCTAATTTCCACACTCTGAATTTCTGCATAATATTTACACCACACATTGCCCTTAGACAGGCATCTCCACTGCGTCCAACCGTCTCCTCGCTGCTGCATTTACCACCCAAGCTTCACACCCATATAAGAGTGTTGGTACTACTATACTTTCATACATTCCCTTCTTTGCCTCCATAGATAACGTTTTTTGTCTCCACATATACATATACTCTTTTCTATGTTCATTTTCAATTTCTAATTTAAACACATTCCCAAACTCATCCACTAACCTTTGCAATTTTTCTTTAGAATCTCCCATAAGCACAGTATCATCAGCAAAAAGCAACTGTGTCAATTCCCATTTTGTATTTGATTCCCATAATTTAATCCCCCCCCTCTCCTGAACACCCTAGCATTTACTTCATTTACAACCCTATCTATAAATACGTATATTAAACAACCATGGGGACATTACACATCCCTGTCTAAGACCTACTTTTACCGGGATGTAGTCTCCCTCTCTCTACACACCCTAACCTGAGCCTCACTATCCTCATAAAAACTCTTTACAGCATATAGTAACTTACCACCTATTTCCATATACTTGCAACATCTGCCACATTGCTCCCCTATCCACTCTATCATATGCCTTTTCTAATCAATAAATGCAATAAAAACTTCCCTACCTTTATCTAAATACTACTGTTCACATATATGCTTCATTGTAAACACTTGATCTACACATCCCCTACCCACTCTGAAACCTCCTTGCTCATCCGCAATCATACATTCTGTCTTACCTCTAATTCTTTCAATAATAACCCTACCGTACACTTTCCTGGTATACTCAGTAAACTTATTCCTCTATAATTTTTACAGTCTCTTTTGTCCCCCTTCCCTTTATATAAAGGGACTATACATGCTCTCTGCCAATCCCTGGGTACCTTCCCCTCTTTCATACATTTATTAAACAAAAATACTACCACTCCAACACTATGTCCCCCTCTGCATTTAACATTTCTGTCATGAACCGTCAGTTCCAGCTGCTTTACCCTCTTTCATTCTACATAATGCCTCACGCACCTCCCCACACTCACATCCTGCTCTTCTTCACTCCTAAAAGATGGTATACCTCCTGGCCAGTGCATGAAATTACCGCCTCCCTTTTTTTCGTCAAACTTTAAAAAAGTTCCTCAAAAATTTCGACTTCACCCCAATACCCCCAAACCCCACCTACAAACCCCCTTTAACTCTGTTTTTAACTGGCAAACCCAAATTCTTTTCCCCCTGGGCCCTTTTTACTTTTTTAAACTCACCCCAAAAACCCTTTTCTTTTTTTAAATTAAAAATTTCTTGAAAAATTCCCTCCCCCACGGTATCTCTCTCTCCTTTTTCACTCTCTAAACCACTCCTTCGCTTATTTTTTTACTCCCCAAAAAACCCTCTCTCTTCTTATAACATTCGCTTTGAAAATCCTCTCAAAAACCCCTTTTTTCCCCTTTTTTTAACACCCCCTTTTACTTCATCTTCCACCAAATCACCCCCTTTTTCCCTTTCCGCACCCACCCCCTTATAACCCCCAAACATCGCCCCACTTCTAATACTCTTTTTTTAAAACTTTTCCCAAAACCACTTAAACCCCCCCCCCCATATCACACTTGCACCACCCACCTTTCGGGCCAATATTGCTTATATCCCCCGAATTTCCCTCCCCCCCTTAGTTTTATACATTTTCACCCCCTCTTACTTGTTGCCATTTTCCTTTTGTCCCCCACCTCTTACTCAAACTGTAGCAAAACTAAATAATGATCCGAAAAACATTACCCCCAAAAACGTGTACTTTCCTGACCCCTATCATCTCCCTTTTTATCCCCCAAATACATAATCTAACAAACTACTTTCTTATGTGTTATATCTACCTTGAAATTTTTATTTATCCTCTTTTTCAAAAAAATATGTATTACTTATTACAAACCCTTTTTTTCTACACATAGCAAAATTTAAAGGGCCCCCTTTTTTCATTTACCCCGCAAACCCCAAATTTACCCACTACTCCCCCCAAAAACATTTTTACCCCCCTTTAACACTAAATCCCCAACCAAAAAATCTCCCAAAAAAATTGTTTCAAAACTCCCCCTCATTTCCCCCTCCAAATTTTTTTCCCAAAAAAATCCTCTCCCCCTCACACTTTTTTCCTCCCCGGTGCCAAAAAAAAACGCTTACTGGAACCCACTTTTCACTCCAACCCTTTATTTTACTCCACATAATCCTTGAATTAATACATTTATAGTCCCCCTTTTCTTGCCATAGCTTATCCTTCAACATTATTGCTACTCCTTCTTATCTCTAACTCTATTTGAAACCCCTGACCTAATCCCATTTATTCCTCCACTGAAACTCTCCCATCCCCTTCAGCTTTGTTTCATTTAAAGCCAGGACATCCAGCTTCTTCTTATCATAACATCCACAATCATCTCTTTCTTATCATTTGCACAACATCCACGCACACTCAGACTCCCACTTTGACAATTTTATTTTCTTATTCTTTTTGGTAAATATTACAGGAAAGGTGTTACTAGCCCATTGTTCCCGGCATTTTAGTTGACTTTTACAACACGCATGGCTTACGGAGGAAAGATTCTTATTCCACTTCCCCATGGATATAAAAGGAAAAATAATAAGAACAAGAACTATTAAGATAAAATCAAAGAAAACTCAGATGCGTGTGTATAAATAAACTTGTACATGTATGTGTAGTGTGACCTATGTGTAAGTAGAAGTAGCAAGACGTACCTGTAATCTTGCATATTATGAGACAGACAAAAGACACCAGCAATCCTACGATCATGTAAAACAATTACAGGCTTTCGTTTACACTCACTTGGCAGACTGTAGTACCTCCCAGGGTGGTTGCTGTCTACCAACATATATAAATTAATATAGGAGGTACCACCTCTAGAACTGTTATAGGACCCTCATCCTCAGTAGAAAAGAATAAACTTGCTTCAGGGAAAACTCAAGGTTCTCCTGAAACTGTTTGAGAATTTTCTCCTACCACCCCCTATATTTTATGTATATTTTATTTAAAGACAAAATACATTGACAAAACATTCACAAAATACGATAGAAAGTAAAACAACATAGTGACTCAGAGCTACATCTCGAATACTTCGCCATCTCCCCGGCGGTGGCCGCATGCCCGAATGCTGCAGGCATTTCCTCTCTGGATTGCAACACTGAGTCTCTGAAAGAGGAACTGGTCTCCTGTGGTCCTTGGTTCTATGATATATATATATATATATATATATATAATATATATATATAATATATATATAATATAGTATATAATATAATATATATAATATATATATATATGTCGTGCCGAATATGTAAAACTGGTCAATTAGCAAGAACTCATTTAAAATAAGTCCTTTCTAAAATTTTCTCTATACGTTTAAAGATATATTTTTTTTTCATTAATGTTGTGTAAAATTTTAATTTTGCACCAAAGAAACTTAGAAACTTACCTACCTTATTATAACAAGAACAATTTATTTTAGCCTAACCCAACTAAATATATTTAGATTTGTTTACAATAATTTAATACTAAACAAATACAGTGAAATACATTTTTTCGTTAGATTCAGAATGATTTTGACGAAATTATTGGCATACACAAATTTTCACTTGGTCCTATATGGCAAGATGTGCGTTGCATTAAGCCAAGATCGCAAGTTCGCCTATTCGGCACGACATATTATATATATATTATATAATATATTAATATATAGTATAAAAATTATATATTATATATATACAATAATATACACATTACTCACTAAAGAAAATTCACACTGGCAAGGCATTTACGCAGTGTGAATGACATTCGTCTGTTTTACACTAATAACACGTCTTCACGTTTAATATGTAACACATGTATGTTCCCATTCATCATAATTAATTCGTATTGTTCTAAGGTATTTAGTAATAATATAAACCTCATGTCTTTTTAATCAGTTAAGAGTGAAAACAGTTCGATGCTGAATAAAGAAGTGAAGGTATTAGTGAGACGGAGAAAATATTGCGGGAAGTTTAGATAATGAGATGGGGGACCGAGGCATCATGCATGGTGTAGAGGAACTAGAATCATGAGCATAGAGAAGCAGGAATTATGGAGAGAGAGTGAGTGAGAAAATAAACACGTTGAAGGTGGGAAAAAGCAGTGTGGATGGATGGGATTAAGACAAAAATGCTAAAAACAAGTGGAATAAAGTTTTGGAATGATTGTGTATTAAGGCAGAAGGAACAGTAGAGAGTGTAGTGTTAGAGGGCCACACATCTGTTGAATATACCGGGTAAACTGTATGACAGAACTACCGTTAAAACAGTGATACACACCAACCATTCTATACTTTACGTTACATTCTATATATGGAAACGACTAAAAGTATAACTGCAGAGGTACAACGTGAATAATTCTTGTTGCATTTATCATAAGTTAGGGCGGACAGGGAAGCAAAGTGGTGCAAATATATAAAATGCCAGGCGGTAAATTGTTAAAAACTTTAGAGAGTAATTATGAGAAGACTGAGGATGAAGTCAGAGTATGCAGCAGAGAAGAGTGATTCTCCAGTAAATGTTAGCTAGACAAAGATAAGTGATGTCACCATGGTTATCTAATGTGTTTACAAACGAAGTTCTACAGGTAGTGAATGCTATAATAGTCATGGAGAAATTCGAGAGTAAAAGATAACGAGTCTTATGTGTATATGTATATATATTTGAGAATGTTTGTATTTTGGTTTGTGGGTTTTCCGAAAATTAGGTCCTCATGAAAGCCAGTGAAACCAAACTTTGTAACAGGTTACACTAACAACCCAGGCAGGTTTTAGTATAACCCGCACCCACCAAACAAACTTATGACGACGTTTCGGTCTGACTTGGACCATAAACCAGTCACAGTCGCAGGTTTTAGGTTATACAGAAATCTAAAAACAGTTCGTGGGGGGGGGGGCGGCGACCCTTCGGCAGCAACTTTTTTGTTGCATTATGCTAAGTGAGACTCACACCTGCCTACTAGCAGGTGTGGGGGTGTCTTCTCACCCTTCCCCACACCTGCCTACTAACAAGGCAGGTGTGGGGGTGTCTCCCCACCCTTCCCCACACCTGCCTACTAACAAGGCAGGTGTGGGGGTGTCTCCCCACCCTTCCCCACACCTGCTTACTAACAAGGCAGGTGTGGGGGTGTCTCCCCACCCTTCCCCACACCTGCCTACTAACAAGGCAGGTGTGGGGGTGTCTCCCCACCCTTCCCCACACCTGCTTACAACAAGGCAGGTGTGGGGGTGTCTCCCCACCCTTCCCCACACCTGCCTATTAACAAGGCAGGTGTGGGGGTGTCTCCCCACTCTTCCCCACACCTGCTTACTAACAAGGCAGGTGTGGGGGTGTCTCCCCACCCTTCCCCACACCTGCCTACTAACAAGGCAGGTGTGGGGGTGTCTACCCCACCCTTCCCCACACTCGCCTACTAACAAGGCAGGTGTGGGGGTGTCTCCCCACTCTTCCCCACACCTGCTTACTAACAAGGCAGGTGTGGGGGTGTTTCCCCACCCTTCCCCACACCCGCCTGCTAACAAGGCAGTGTGGGGGTGTCTCCCCACCCTTCCCCACATTCGCCTACTAACAAGGCAGTGTGGAGGTGTCTCCCCACCCTTCCCCACACCCGCCTACTAACAAGGCAGGTGTGGGGGTGTCTCCCCACCCTTCCCCACACTCGCCTACTAACAAGGCAGTGTTAGGGTGTCTCCCACACCCGCCTACTAACAAGGCAGGTGTGGGGGTGCCTCCCCTCCCTTCCCCACACCCGCTTACTAACAAGGCAGGTGTGGGGGTGCCTCCCCACCCTTCCCCACACCCGCCTATTAACAAGGCAGGTGTGGGGGTGTCTCCCCACCTTTCTCCACACCCGCCTACTAACAAGGCAGGTGTGGAGGTGTCTCCCCACCCTTCCCCACACCCGCCTACTAACAAGGCAGTGTGGGGGTGTCTCTCCACCCTTCCCCACACCTGCCTACTAACAAGGCAGTGTGGGGGTGTCTCTCCACCCTTCCCCACACCTGCCTACTAACAAGGCAGTGTGGGGGTGTCTCTCCACCCTTCCCCACACCTGCCTACTAACAAGGCAGTGTGGGGGTGTCTCTCCACCCTTCCCCACACCTGCCTACTAACAAGGCAGTGTGGGGGTGTCTCTCCACCCTTCCCCACACCTGCCTACTAACAAGGCAGTGTGGGGGTGTCTCTCCACCCTTCCCCACACCTGCCTACTAACAAGGCAGGTGTGGGGGGTGAGAGTCCCTTACCCCTGGATCGGCAGTCCTATAGTTGTATTATTTTTAATGGGTGAAAGTCTAAATAAAGTGTATTAAACCTGATTATTATAAGTTTCTAGCTTTTATGATTAATTGTAAATATTTGCTGTTTCAGGTGTGATTGAACCTGGATTCGGAAAACAAAATCAAGCACCGTTCCGTCACTGAAATTTTAAGACTTAGAAAAAAGTCACGCCCTCGGAGAATCGTGCCGGCATGATGACTGTCAGGACCAGTTCTTTGTATTTTACAGTCAGGAGGTGAGTTTCTGAGCTCCGCTGTGGTACGAAATCTGTCGAAGATAACTTTAAGCCTGGCAGGCCTTTGACATAGATGAACCAGAAAAAAACACTGAGGTTGTGGGGCGAATTGTGATGAGAATCGAAAAGTGACGGTGCGTCAGGTAGTGGACACTAGGGAGTAAACAAGCCAGGGAACTGGTGGGGGTTAAACCTATGGCGAGTGAGTCGTAAAACTCCAGACCAGTGTGTTAACCACTGGACCAGCTGGCTACAATAAGATTCATCTAACTAGGTATATTTATACACCATAGGGAGGTTAGCATGGATCCCACTGTGTCCACAAATGCAAGATTTTAGAGATGCATGTCCCGCCAGTGTGGCCAGAGGGACATGCATGTCCCCGAGTGTGGCCAGAGGGACATGCATGTCCCGCCAGCGTGGCCAGAGGGACATGCATGTCCCGCCAGCGTGGCCAGAGGGACATGCATGTCCCCGAGTGTGGCCAGAGGGATATGCATGTCCCGCCAGCGTGGCCAGAGGGACATGCATGTCCCGCCAGCGTGACCAGAGGGACATGCATGTCCCGCCAGCGTGGCCAGAGGGACATGCATGTCCCGCCAGTGTGGCCAGAGGGACATGCATGTCCCGCCAGTGTGGCCAGAGAGACATACATGACTCTCATCAACTTTTTAATGGATATTTTTGGTCACTCATCTTAACACCTGAGTTGGATGTCACGGGACTGTAAGTACAATCTTCTGGTCACTCAACACCTGAGTGGTATGTCACGGGACTGCTAGTACAGTCTTCTGGTCACTCAACACTGAGTGGTATGTCACGGATGCTATGTACAGTCTTCTGGTCACTCAACACCTTTAGTGGGATGTCACGGGACTGTTAGTACAATCTTCTGGTCACTCAACACCTGAGTGGTATGTCACGGGACTGCTAGTACAGTCTTCTGGTCACTCAACACCTGAGTGGTATGTCACGGGACTGTTAGTACAGTCTTCTGGTCACTCAGCACCTGAGTGGGATGTCACGGGACTGTTAGTACAGTCTTCTGGTCACTCAACACCTGAGTGGGGTGTCCCCGGGGGACTGTTAGTACAGTCTTCTGGTCACTCAACACCTGAGTGGTATGCCACGGACTGTTTGTACAGTCTTCTTGGTCACTCAGCACCTGAGTGGGATGTCACGGGACTGTTAGTACAGTCCCTTCTTCATCAGCACTGATGTTATGTCACGGACCTGGTAAGTACAATCTTCTGGTCCTAACACCTGAGTGGTAAGTCACGGGACTTGTGTACAGTCTTTTGGGACTCAACACCTGAGTGGGGATGTCACGGGACTGTTAGTACAGTTCTTCTGGTTTAATCAACACCTTTAGTGGTATGTCACGGACTGCTAGTACAGTCTTTTGGTCACTCAACACCCAGTGGGATGTCCCCGGACTGTTAGTACAGTCTTCTGGTTTACTCACACCTGAGTGGGATGTCCCGGGACTGTTAGTACAGTCTTTTGGTCACTCAACACCTAGTGGGTAGTCACGGGACTGTTAGTACAGTCTTCTGGTCACTCAGCACCTGAGTGGGATTGCACGGGACTGTTATACAGTCCTCAGGTCACTCAGCACCTGAGTGGATGTCACGGGACTGTTAGTACAGTCCTTCTGGTCACTCAACACCTGAGTGGATGTCACGGGACTGTTAGTACAGTCTTCTGGTCACTCAACCCCTGAGTGTATGTCACGGGGACTGTTAGTCAGTCTTTGGTCACTCACACCTGAGTGGTATTCACGGGACTGTTAGTACATTTTGGTCATCAGGGACCTGAGTGTTTTTGTCACGGAAATGTTATTTCAGTCTTCTGGTCACTCACACTGAGTCGTATGTCACGGGACTGTTAGTACAGTCTTCTGGTCACTCAACAACACTGAGTGGGATGTCACGGGACTGTTAGTACAGTCTTCGGTCACTCAACACTGAGTGGTATGTCACGGACTGTTAGTACAGTCTTTTTTGGGCACTCAGCACGTGAGTCGGATGTCACGGGGCTGTTAGTACATTTTTGGTCACTCAACACCTGAGTGGGATGTCAAAGGGACTGTTAGTAAAAGTCTTCTGGGCACTCAGCACCTGAGTGGGATGTCACGGGACTGTTAGTACAGTCTTCTGGGCACTCAACACCTGAGTGGATGTCCGGACTGTTAGTACAGTCTTCTGGTCACTCAACACCTGAGTGGTATGTCACGGGACTGTTATACAATCTTTGGTCACTTCAACACCTGATTGTATGTCACGGACTGTTAGTACAGCTTCTGGTCACTCAGCACCTGAGTGGTATGTCACGGGACTGTTAGACAGTCTTCTGGGCCCCTCAGCACCTGATGGTATGTCACGGACTGTTAGTACAGTCTTCTGGTCACTCAACACCTGAGTGGTATGTCACGGGACTGTTAGTACAGTCTTCTGGTCACTCAACACCTGAGTGGGATGTCACGGGACTGTTAGTACAGTCCCTTTTGGTCACTCAGCACCTGAGTGGGATGTCACGGGACTGTTAGTACAGTCTTCTGGTCACTCAGCACCTGAGTGGGATGTCACGGGACTGTTAGTACAGTCTTCTGGTCACTCAACACCTGAGTGGTATGTCACGGGACTGTTAGTACAGTCTTCTGGTCACTCAGCACCTGAGTGGGATGTCACGGGACTGTTAGTACAGTCTTCTGGTCACTCAACACCTGAGTGGTAAAGTCACGGGACTGTTTTGTACAGTCTTCTGGTCATCACCCTGAGTGGTATGTCACGGGACTGTTAGTACAGTCTTCTGGTCCCCTCAGCACCTGAGTGGGATGTCACGGGACTGTTAGTACAGTCTTCTGGTCACTCAGCACCTGAGTGGGATGTCACGGGACTGTTAGTACAGTCTTCTGGTCACTCAACACCTGAGTGGTATGTCACGGGACTGTTAGTACAGTCTTCTGGTCACTCAGCACCTGAGTGGGATGAAAGGGACTGTTAGTACAGTCTTCTGGTCACTCAACACCTGAGTGGTATGTCACGGACTGTTAGTAAAAGTCTTCTGGGCACTCAGCACCTGAGTGGTATGTCACGGATGTTAGGACAGTCTTCTGGTCACTCAACACCTGAGTGGTATGTCACGGGACTGTAGTACAGTCTTCTGGTCACTCAGCACCTGAGTGGAATGTCACGGGACTGTTAGTACAGTCTTCTGGTCACTGAGCACCTGAGTGGGATGTCACGGGACTGTTATTACAGTCTTCTGGTCACTCAGCACCTGAGTGGGATGTCACGGGACTGTTAGTACAGTCTTCTGGTCACTCAGCACCTGAGTGGGATGTCACGGGACTGTTAGTACAGTCTTCTGGTCACTCAGCACCTGAGTGGGATGTCCGGGATGTTAGTACATTTTGTCACTCAGCACCTGAGTGGGATGTCAGGGACGTTTGTACATCTTCTGGTCACTCCAGCACCTGAGTGGGATGTCACGGGACTGTTAGTACATCTTCTGGTCACTCAGCACCCCGAGTGGGAGTCACGGGACTGTTAGTAAAATCTTCTGGTCACTCAGCCCTGAGTGGATGTCACGGACTGTTAGTACAATCTCTGGTCACTCAGCCCTGAGTGGGATGTCACGGGGCTGTTGTACAATCTTCTGGTCACTCACCCTGAGTGGGATGTCAAAGGGACTGTTAGTACAATCTTCTGGTCACTCAGCACCTGAGTGGGATGTCACGGGACTGTTAGTACAATCTTCTGGTCACTCAGCACCTGAGTGGGATGTCACGGGACTGTTAGTACAATCTTCTGGTCACTCAGCACCTGAGTGGGATGTCACGGGACTGTTAGTACAGTCTTCTGGTCACTCAACACCTGAGTGGGATGTCACGGGACTGTTAGTACAATCTTCTGGTCACTCAGCACCTGAGTGGGATGTCACGGGACTGTTAGTACAATCTTCTGGTCACTCAGCACCTGAGTGGGATGTCACGGGACTGTTAGTACAGTCTTCTGGTCATTCATCGTTACAATTATGCTAACATCATATTTATCATGAACGTTGCAGTGTTAAGACTACTCTATATGCTTCTCTAAAGAAATATATTTTACAATAAAATGCCAGATTATTTTTAAGTGATTGTTCTGTATTCAATAAATGTGAAGTTTGACGGACTATAGGTAATAAACGGCTTTATTTTTTTTATTTTGCTATCTGCCCACCACCTGCCTCACTGGCGACCAGAATACTTCAGTTAATTTTATCGACTTCCCGACACATGCTGGGCCACACACGAGGCCACAAAAACTATGTTTAAACTTGATTGGTTCCCGAGTTCTCTACACGACACCTCAGTGTTGGTCGGACCTTCAAACCCAGCCAGTAAGTTTGGTCGGTGTTGACAACAGGCTTGTCAAGGGCTTCCCCGCTTGTTTGCATTACAACTTGGAGTGACTTCAGTCCCAGGTAGACTTCGCATTGCTCAGGTATTAGTTTAATGTAATAATGTTGGTAGAATACTTCAGTATGTGTAGTAAAGGGACACAAGTGCAACTAATGCGACATTTTATTGTGGCAACGGCTTGACAAAGTTCCCGGAGAGCGAAACGTTGCCACAGTAAAATGTTGCATTAGTTGCATTTGTGTCCTTTTACCTAATATTAGTTTTATGATCATTGTAGTTTATTAACTGATTTATGGTGGCCAGTGAATCAGACACAAACATCCAACACATGGGCATCTTTACTGAGAGAAGTTTCTTGACTCACGAAATCATAATGACACGATTGCAAACAAACCATACCACGGGCTGGGCTTGAACCCGCGGTAGAGTTTTAAGACTCTACCGCGGGTTAAAGCCCCTCCCGTGGTTTGGTTTGAGAGACATTTCGTCTGCACAACAGGCTTTATCAGCCTAATACTAGAAGCTAAGTTAGGTTAGGTAAAATTTGCCAGGAAACTATGTTAATTGTTTCCTGACGTGTGTCTCTTGTCATATGATGACGCACCACTGGAGCTTTTGTTCATCTGACCGAGGCTTTCCTCTGGTCTACCGGTGCACCCTTTTGAAAATTAACTTGATTCGGTTTCAACACAAAAGGCAGGAGGACGAAGTACTGTATACAGAAGACAGTGGAGAGATGCAGCAACTGAAGACGTGGTCATGCAGGAGAAGAGTCCACTAGTGAAAGCAGGTCAGGCCCATAAGGTGGACCGGAATCTTAGCAATATTGTTGAAAATGAATGGTATAAAACACCGACATAAATGTCGCATCAAGCGGTCCTTCCTTCACAGTATTTTGCCCTTTCATGTGGGTTTTTACAAGTGACTTGAAAAAGCTTATTGTGTAGGAGAAACGTCAACAAAAAATCGTATCATACCGCATTTGTCTTCATCCATTCCACAGTGTTGTACTATACAAGCATCAATAGATCAAAGATATAAAATAAATAAAGGCTAAGTATCTCTGATAAAGCTGCCGTTTAAGAAAAACGTCTCTCAAAAAAACGTACTCACGTACTGCGCA